GTTATATAAAAATCGATAAAGATACAAACTTTGCAAAATAATTTAGAATTTTCATTACCTTTACTCAAACTCTTAACAATTCCCACATTAGAACTTACAAATACCACATGTGCAACACCATTATCAACTAACAAGGCAGCTAATTTAGCTAAATGATTCCAAATTTCTTCCCTTTCAGTCGCATCTTTAATCATGAATGAATCAATCACCACGATTGGAATATCAGCAGGATCATAAGATTCTACAAACTGTGGCTCAATATATTTATTTGGTTTCTTTTGATGTTTTCTAATTAGAGAATCAGGAGCAATATCATGTAATGCGATCGCTAACGTATCAAGAATCTTTTTTATCTCTGAATCGGCTGATGATGAAAAACCAACTAAATTATATGAAAATTGTTACAAAAGTTATTATAAAAGTTATTATGAGAAGTAAAATAATCTTTAACGAATTTCAAGTATAATAATATTTAACTTACGTGTTTTATTTCCAATCATTGCACTTGCCAACCCATCGATAAGATTGGACATAGAAATTAATAACGAGAACACAGGGAAATATCCTACTTGTTTTGCCAACCTCAAGATAAGCTCGTTTTCATTGCGTGAATTTACAATCTCATCACATTTAATCACTATCTTATTCCTAGCACAAATATAGTAATAAACATATTAGCATGAATATATAGTTAAAAAAAAAAATAAAAACTATTATAAAATTAGTTGGTCCACGTCCAAACCCCAAACTCTTATAAAATTCTATTAATAATCTTTATCCAAAAATAATACATACTCTTATAACTATATATAGTATATTTACAATTTTTTTTTATAAATAGCAATATTTTAAATTTGGGATTTGTCCAGATTTGTCGGCAAGTATAAATATCGAAAGCTTACTTTTTATCTTGAATCACTTGATCAATAAATTTGCTTTTACCAGTTCCAGTTGGACCCAACAAGACAATAAACGTTTCTGATGTACAATAATATTAGCATAAATTGGAAATTAAAAATAATGTTTATTAAATTAAATTACAAAATAACCTGGAGGTTCTCTTAACCAATTTCGTAATTTTTGCTCTTCTTGTTCTCGTTCTTTCCAGATACTTATATCAGCCAATGGATCGTAGATTGACTTATTCCGATATAAAATACGTTCAATTGCCTGCCTTTTAAGCCATTGATATATACGATATTCTTGCGGATTAAAACGTTGTGTAA